TAACTTTAACACGATCACGATCTGTGTTCCGTTCTAGTATTGCGGGTGTCGGCTGCTGGCTGTCAGGAGGTAGCGCATGCCGACGCTGTGCAGGCAGGCACACCCATGGACGACAGCAAACACTGTCTGTACAACTCAACCAAACAATAAACCATAATTAAAAATTTAAACTGATACTCCATAAGTGTCTATTATCTAATTCTTTTAAACACACTATGTCAACTGAGAATTATACAAAGACAAATGTCAATTAAAACACATAAGGAAATATAAGGTTGACTCTGTCACACACCGTCTATTTTTTATCAGAAGCTAATGCAGGGGACAGGTGTAGGAGACTAATTTCATGTTCAGCCTGCATGAAACACTCAGAGTGACTCATTAGAATCAGAAATAATCATTAAAAAATGTTTTTTCAGTGTTCCACGCCTTTTGACCAGAATGTTTTTGTGTGTTTACTTTCCTCACAGGTCATAAAAACACTGAAATATGTTTAATAGTCTTTAATTATTATTGGAAGGATATTACATTTCCCATTATGCTGTGCTTGTTACCATTAGTTTACATAAACAGTTTCAGGGGTGGCTTCTTTCTGTTTTGTGCTGCAACAACAACCAATTGTTGCAGAATCGTCCACCCCTGACTTTAGTTTAAACCATCAGCTCGATGTAACGCGCTAATTTATCACAACAGACCACATAAACTAACTTTAAAGGGGCATTATGGAAGTTTGACAGCCAAAACATGTACAGAAATAATGAATTTCTTCTTCATACATTCTCCTGCAATGCCCTGGTCCTGTAGAATGAGCCCTGGCATTTTTACTGTGATTGCCTGTTTTTCTGTAAAATCACAGAAAAAGAGAGATGCTCGGGTCGAGCAGGCTGCTTCAGGCGCGTTCACGCTCAGGCATCGCCCGTAGCATTTGCTATCCGTAGCTTTAGCAGCAGAGAGAGAGGCAGTGCCACTTTGTCGCTGTTCCTAACGCCTAGTGACAAACCTCGCTACATTTCTGAGGACCCTTAGCTACTTTCTTCTAGATATTTCATTAGCCATTTTTGCCCCGAACCGTTCTTTGAACGTTGTTTCAGTTGTCATCAAGGATATAAATGTTACAGATACAAAGGATGTCACTGGTGCTGTAGCTCACCTAGTAAGATGTCAGACTTTCGTGCAGAAGACCTGGATTCGATTCTGAATGTGAACATAGTTTATTTAGAGTTTATTGTTTACATTAATGGTATATTTTTCACAGTAAGATGCCCAAATTTTTCTTTGAGACTCGCCGAACGGCTTTGAATTCACAGATAAAAAAGATGTGGGTTCAACTTTCATTTTGGAACAAATTTTCAAGCAAGGGAAGGGAATGATCTCAGCATGCAGGAGGACTGACCCATCATAAACCTTTGTCGGCTGTGCTGAAGAGAAAGCTACAGAACCAAATTATTTAATTAATTAGCTGCATGTTCTCCTGTCCTCTGTCCTCCGGGCCACACACACACACACACACACACACACACACACACACACACACACACACACACACACACACACACACACGGGACTGTCTCAGCTGTTGTTTTCGTTAAGGAGGGTGCACGTACAGCATGCGCGCCTCGTGCACGAGCCTACTATTGAAGCTGCCGTTACGCTTTTGGCCTGAGGGGGCAATCGCGAGTATAAAAATTCAAAACTCCGTAAAGTCCCTTTAAAGGAAGTTTTAAAAAACTCTCACAATTTACTCTGTTCTTCCCGTTCCCCAATTTTCCGAAGTTTGGTTGAACATTTTAATTTTTATACATTTTAAATTAGCAAGCTAATTGCTAATGCTAACTCTTTGTCATGATGTGGTACAGGTTCTAGTAGTATGAGTCATTCTACCTTACCTGCATGCCTTTGTTGGTTTTATGATTCCAGTTTTCATTCCTCACAGCTGGAGCCCCCAGGAGTTTGAGACTCGAGCTTCATAGCCTGACTTCTCTTTTTATTTGAAAGCAGTACAACTGAGCATTCATTACTTCTGGGTCGTATGAGGGGATTAATAACCTTATTACTCATATCGGACATGCATAAAAAGAGGCCCGACCTTCTTTTAACCTGCCTTAAGCAATAGATGGAGGAGGTCCATTAATTAAATTTCATAGATTTTCAATGCACTGCAAATTTCTGCATTTGATTGAGTCTTCCTGTTAGTGTTGCTGCAGATCCATAATCAGCAGAGAAACATTGTTGATTTTTGGTTTTAAATGACCTGATTTGATCTGAATGTACTTTTAAACATCACAAATAGGCGTAACATTTGTTTTGGATTAGTTTCTCACATTTTGAACACAGTGTGTTCTTCTCTTCAAGTTGTCTGCAAAATGTTATGGTTACTTTCTTCCGCAGCTTTCCCTTCTTTCAGCAGAGGTTATATTTTATCCACGAGAGGGTCGTTATTTAGCATCTCCATCTCAGCTGTCCTCCTTCTCACAGCTTTCCAGACTCAGAGCCATTCTCTTTTGTCATTCTAATCTTTTCTTCTGGTGCCACCACTTCGTTTTGACCTCCGGCCTGCAGTGTGTGTATTTTTTTTCCCTACATTTTGCTTTTATGGCAAAAAATGAAGCAAGACAGTGAAGGGAAAAAGAATTTGTGTTTTCATTCATAGACTTCTCCTTCCTTATCTGGTAAAAGCTGTGGAAATTAAATAACTGCTTTTCTGAAATAGAGTAAGAAAAGATCAATTTTTGATAAAAGAAATCCTGTTTTGGGGCATTTGTGCTGCCATTAGGGTTTAATTACTTCGGGACAGCAGTAGCTCAGGAGGTAGACCTTGTTGTTTAGTAATTGAAAGGTTGCAGGATACCAGCTCCTACCAGAGAATTCTGCTGTGGTGTCCTTTGGCAAGACACTTAACCCACCTTGCCTGCTGGTGGTGGTCGGAGGGACTGGTGGCGCCAGTGCTCGGCAGCCTCGCCTCTGTCAGTGCACCCCACGGCAGCTGTGGCTACATCGTAGCTCATCATCACCAGCGTGTGAATGTGTGTGAGAATGAGTGAGTGACTGATTGTGTTGTGAAGCGCCTTGGGGGGTTTTAGGACCCTAAGGCCCTGTCCACACGTAGCCGGGGATCTGCCAAAACCTAGATATTTTTCTACGTTTTGGCCTGTCATCCACACGAAAACTGAGTTTTTTCACACGAAAACGGATCTTTTTAAAAACTCCGGCCAAAGTGAAGATCTGTGTTTTCTCTGTTTTGGGTGTCTGCGTGTGGACGGACAAAACCGGAGTTTTAAGGTCCGCAACGTCACTTTCCGCGACAAAAAAAAAAAATGCATACATCACGTGTGCGACCTGTGTTTACACTAGCCGGCATCATGGATGCCCTCAGAGCTGCGCTCGCTTTATCAATTGTCCAAGCGCTTTTTGCTTGTTTGTTTTTGCAAGAGGAATTACTGCTCCTTGTGGAAGACTACAGACGAAGGACGAGGTTAAGAACGGGGGAAGTACTGCCGCCTACAGGTCTGGCATGTCCTTAACAACGTATTTATCCGGGTACGTGTGGACAGAGTTTTTTTTTAAACAAGGTGGTGTGGATGCAGGTTTTTGGAGGGGCGGATATTCGTTTTTAAAAAAACGGCTACGTGTGGACTAGGCCTAAGAAGGCTCTATACAAATACAGGGCATGCCATTAACAATTTGTCAGCTATTGTACTTTAGGCAGGGGGAAAAAAAAAAATTAACAGTGAAAATGTATCTGCTTCAGCAAACGGATGTTTTATAGTTAGCTTTTCCTTTAGGATTTTTCCCAGACGGTTTTATCCTGACAACAACGCCATAGAAGCTGCAGAACCTGAAACTTGGAGGATGAGTGCTCCTCCTTTCATAGAAAAGGATGAGAGGTTTCCATGAAGTTTGCAACGGACCATTGTCAGTGGGATTCCCTCAAGGAAAATAACCATGTGGCAGAGATGCAGATTTCTGGAAAAGCAGGGTGAACGGGAACTAACTGACCCGATCCAGAGCTGTGTTTATTTAAGACTATCCTAGAATTTGAAAACGACATTTTCAGAAAAAAACTTGAATGTATAAATATATTAATCAGACAATTATAACATGTTTTCAAGCTGGCGATTGTGTCCTTTTATGACCATGTCGTAAATGAAAAACACTGTTTTGGTGAACTATCATTAAAAGCCTTCAGTAACACTTTAGTTTAGGGAACACAAATTAACAATTAATTAGCTGCCAATTAATATGCATATTAGTGGACTACTAAGTCTGAACTAGTCATGGTCCAGTCAGCCCATGGTGAACAGCATCCCAGCAGGAAACCTCCAGCTCTGTGCTGCTGTCCTTTTCACAGGCTCATCATTTAGCCAGATTTCTAAGGTATAGGCCAAAACTGTTTAGGTTAGTTTTGATAAGGTCTGTGCGTCTCTCATTTCATGTCGTAACTTTTCATATTTTAGTTCCTGGGTGCCTTCAATGTGCAGGGACTGTCCAAGCAGTCATTCTGTCGGCATCAGGCAAAGCTCTTAATTCCAACAGTGAGCTGGCAGTGGCAGCTAGAGCAAGCTGATATCATCCAGGAGGCTACTGAATCTGGACCTGTGACTCTTGGTGGTGACATGCGAGCTGATTCACCTGGTGAATACGTTTAAATTTATTTATTTTATTCCTTTGCTATCAAATGTAAATTAAGTAATAACTTGCATTTCTTGAAGGACACTCAGCCAAATATGGCAGCTGCACCATGATGGATCTCAAAAGAAACAAAGTTATTGATATCCAACTTGTACAGGTACAACATTACCTGATGATTCCAAAACATTTAATGGTTAATTATTCACAGATCAATGGAGAATTATGTTTATTTTCAGAGCAATGAAGTTGGGAATAGTGTGCGAATGGAGAAGGAGGGATTTGTGCGAAGTCTGAGCACACTTTTGGAGAGGGGGGTCGATGTGCAGCAAGTCGTGACTGACCGCCACACAGGAGTGCAGAAGTATTTGTGGGAGGAAAAAAAGGAAATCAGTCACTACTTTGACCCCTGGCACATGGGAAAAGGTAATCTTTGGGGATATATATAGTGAATATTACAGGATTTTTTTTTCTATTTTAAATGTGGGTCTATTTGGCTCTCCAGGAATTGGTAAGAAAATCGAAGAGCTGGGGAAGAGAAAGACGACCCAGGATGTGAGACTGTGGAAGCAAAGTGTGGTGAACCACCTCTACTGGTCAGCATCCAGTTCCTCCTCAGGACAGGAGGCAGTTGCAAAGTGGACTTCAGTTGCCAACCACATCCAAAATGTGCACAGCCATGACAACGCCCTGTTCCCTAGCTGTCTGCATGCACCTCTGGATGGAGAACAGGCAAGACAGTGGCTCAAACCAAGTAAGTGTAGCATGTACTCATTACAGCTGAGCCTTTACTGTTTGGTTTATTTACATTTAAAACACGTCACCCCACAACAGAATATTTGTCTTCACCTCCTTCAACATGGAGAAATATTTTTTGAGCATGTGAGTAACAGACATCACATGTAGCTGCTAAGGTCACACACCACCATTTGGCCAACAGCAATTAATTACTAAGAATAAAATGCTGTGCAGAAATTTAAACACACGAGTGCGCCACACAACTCATGGTTTTAGGCAGAACAGCCATAATTGACATAATATGTACTAAAATGCCGTAAGTAATGACCACACCTGTCTACAGCACTATTAGTCACTCTTTCATACATTTGTCATCTAAAAATGTCAGCTATGGGTAACTTTTTCTCAATGGAAATAATAGCAACATTCTAAAGTTGATCAAATTGTAATTTTTGTAATTAACATTTTATACGTAGGCACAGCATCATGTGAGAAGCTCACTGCCATTCTGTTAGCTCCACGGTTTGTGAAGGACGTAGAGAAGATAAGCCCTCAGTACCACACATCCACCTTGGAGGCTTTCCACAGTCTCATCATCAGATTTACTCCAAAAAGTCAGGTCTTCTCCTTCAAAGGAATGCTGTCTAGGTAATGAATACAACAAATGTTCAAATTAATGCCTCTAATTGTTCAAATTTTAGCATGAAATGTAGAATTTTGCCTCAAATCTACATGGTTTGTTTATTTGATTATTTCAGATTACAAATTGCTGCAATGCACTATAATGAAAATGCAGCACGCTCACATGCAGCAACAGCAACTGGTGAGCTGAGATATGCTGTAGTGTACCCAAAGTACAAACGTGGAGACTACACAGTGAGAGCCCTGAAGACCAATCCAACCTCATGTATGTCATATATTGTATGATAAAACCAAAATGATGGTCATGGAGAGCTATTGTAATACTGAAAACCCTTTTCCAGTATATGTGCACAAGCTTATGGACCTGCTGTTCGACTCTGTGGTGGTGGATCCTCTCCCATATCAGGAGTACTCGGACAAAATTCCGGTTCCAGAACCGCTCTGTGCCCAGTTCCAAAGACCAGATAAACGGGATGCTGTGAGCAGGCACAGGTCCAGGTTTTAAAGTGCACGTCAGGTGAGCTACACAGGAGATTGTAATTATTAGTTAGTACTCTACTCTGTGTGGTTTCTCCTTTTCTCCTCCTCAGCCAGGCTGCACACCACTGTACGACAGAGGAGTTACCTGTCGTCATTATGGATCTTTATGCTCATCCACTCGTGACTCATGCTGTCCACCTCCCAGATGTCTATTGATCTCTACAACCTTTCTGCTCTGTGGCTCCCATACAACTTGAAAATCTTGGCCGTATGTAACATAGCAAAACTCACCAGTCTTGCTTTTGTAAGTCATACTAGTCATACTAATATTACTTTTTCCTTAGAGCCTCCTGATCTTGTAACAGAAAAACCTGTGCTCCCGGGATCCATCTCCACGTTTGTCATCACAGTGAAAGCTACCTCCAGTCTAAGGAACCTATGAAACATCACTGTTGGCCCAACCTCTCCTCACATGGCTCCAGAATCTCTGCTTGTGGTTTAGAGTTTTGTCAAAAATCTTGAAAGTTATGATCAGATTGTTATCTAACATTGTCTTAGTAGTAGCTATAATAAATGTTATCTTTAAAGCGCAATTGTGTCTTTTTAAATACAATTATATTGATATTTTGATGTGTATAAATACATATATCACATTTATTATCATTCATTTTTACCTAATTGAACCTGCTCTAGATTAGACTTCATTAATCACACAGGGTGTAAACTCACTTGTTACAGCAGCATTAATTAACCCCGAATTAGAACCTTACTGTTGTAAGAGCTCATTTGAAAGTATGTGGCTATATGTGTGTATATATAAATAATGTCAAAGTGTAAAGAAGTGCATTTACCGTTTTGTGATTTATGCAGCTTTTTATGGACAGGAATCAATACAGGAAATATATATTATAACATTTATTTAATCAAAAAAATATATATTAGTTCAGAGGAGGGAGGAATCCTTTGTATGCACCGTCTTCTGGGAACTCCTGCCTTATTCTGGAGACAGCGCATGACGGGATCACAACACGAACGTGCTGTCCCAGGTAACCCCAACACCACCTGACCACATTCCGGTACGCCAGATGTCTGTAACAGCTGAGAAAGAGGTGGTATGAGTTGCAGAAAGCTGCCATAAACTGCCTGCAACACGTAGGGATTCAGAGCAACAGCCTCAAAACCAGGATGCTCTGTTATGCAGGAGGTTACACCCACCTGCTGACACCTGAGCATTACCTATGACAAAGAACAACTGATATCAGGTCTATAAGAGTTCAATATTAGTATGATGTTAGTGATTGTGTAACAAATGTGTACATTACAGAATGCTTTTCTCATGGTGGGGTACTTTTATTTTTATACCTTGGGCGTTTCTCTGCAGCACACATTTTCTCTGGCAGACAATGATGTGCAGTGGCCGCAGGTGCACCTGTCGAGGCAGTCATACAATATTACTTTTAGCTAAGCTAAATATAGCTAGCTGTGGCTAAAAGCTACTTACCACTCAGAGACTGGACCCATTCGATGCCTTGATACTCCTGCTGGCTCGACTCCAGGGGCCTCTGACAACTCACGAGCTAGTGGCTCAAAAAGATACGGTTCAGGACCGCTTGCTTCCCCCAATAAGCCCTCCTCCCTATCCTCTGGGGAAGAAGGTGGGGAAAAGTCCTCCACCTCGAATGACTGCTCTGAGCTAGTGTCGCTCTCCGTCGCCATCTGTATTCAAATTTCAGTATGTCAATCACGGCCGTAGCTCCGCCTTCTCGGTCTTACAGGAAACGCCTCTTTGGGCCGCATTTTTCAAATATGAAATGTGGGTGGAGTAAGACTCTGAGGAGGCTGTTACCACTACTTTAAGCACTTATTAACAGCTTATTACTAATGCTGTAATTCTAAAATTAACTGGACACAATTTAAGAGTTTTAAGAAAATTAGCCTCCCACAATGGTTTGTTGCTGATTAACACACGCACTAAGTACCTCAAATCAATGTGGCTTTTAATGAAGCAATTCAGGGGTAACATATTCTTGCCTTCAAGTGATTCATTAATACTCAATTACTAGTAATTATTTATGAAAAAAATCTGACTTTAGAATGGGGAACATCTTGTTTACAATTGTTGTTTAGGCTCTATTAATATGTGGAGTTTGATGTTTATTTACATCATACCAGAGAATAATATTTTTGGTTATTAATGCAGAATAATTACCCCCGCTGAATTACTTCTTTAAAAGCCACATATTGGTTTGGGCTAATTAGTATGTGCGTTAATCAGCAACAAACCATTATGAAGGGCTTATTATGATAAAACTCTTAATTTATGGCCTATTAATATTAGAATTACAGCACTGGTAATACGCACCTAATAATAGCTTAATAATGACTAATTCTGACTCAATAGTCGACTAATATGCACATGACTTGGCAGCTAATTAATGGTTAATTTGTGTTCCCTAAACTAAAGTGTTACCAAGCCTTCACGTCAAATTTTGAATGAGTAACCTTTCAAGTTATTCTCCATGGAAAAGTTGAGTCATAAAAATATTTTAGTTCCACATTTCTGCTAAATTTGGATGCCTGAACATTGTTTAACCAAACGAGCTTAACTCTAACAAATGGATTCCCGAGTAGATGCAGTTAGTATTTTAGACGTGATTTAGAAGAAAGGGGAAGCAAGCACACAGGCAACAGAGAAAAGACGTTCAATTAAATAACAATAAAATAACAGGAATGGAAAAGATGCTGCTGGCTCCAGACAGACCACACAGATAAACAATAGTACCTCAGTGCACATTATCACTTTAAATCGGGCTATAGGATGTGATGTAACTGTCATGCTGCGAGCGCAGGAGGATTGCACCCAAAATGCAGAGCACTACACACCTCCAGGCAGGAGAGGTTGTTATAAAAATAATTTTATTAGGAAAAGCAAAACTGCAGAACTCTAAGCCAAAATATCTAAAGTTCTAAAGACAAAAAACAAAAGCTCACTCATGAGCCAGGATCTATAGGTCTGTAGAGGACAAAGCAACGCTGACACAAGACAATGAACCGACAACATACTGAGACGCAGACAGGGTTATATAGGCAGGGGCTGGGTGATTAAGGGAATTGGACACAGGTGAGACTAATAACAGAGAGGAGGAGCAGAATGAGCGGGGGCGGAAACCAGACCTAAACTGGGGGAAGGAAGCATAAATGAACCAAAGGGAAATACTGACTAAATAATCCAAACATAACGGAAACTTAATAAGTGGGGTGACTAAAGGTTGGTTTATGCTTGACGCGTCTGCGAGGTTCGCACGGCTCTGCGCGGCAAAATTGCGTCATTTTAACAACCACGCCCCTCCACCCCGCCTCCGCACGGCCCAAAATTTCCGCAACGCGCACCTAGGAAATTTTCTAACCACACGGATGGTCGGACGCGGAAAAACATGGCGGACCGGCAAGAACTAGTATGGCAGAGGTTCGTAAATACAGACATTTGTATGATTCAGCTCTCAGAGATCACCGTGATCAACATGTTGTTAATCATTCTTGGAGAGAAATAGCTCACACTGTCAGTAAAGACGAGGACGCTGTTAAAAAATGCTTAAATGCCATGTTGTAAACAGTAATTTTTACTTCTACTATGGTGTAGTGTTGGATGCATGCCGTAGAGCTCCATGCTGCCCCCTACAGTTTGGGAGAATATTGGCTCACCGCAGAGACGAGCCGCATGAACCATAAACGCTGCGAGTTATGAAGCGCGTTCCATCCGCGAGCCGCATCACCAAGCGGAAAGTAAATGCATCAAGCATAAACCAAGCTTGAGGAAAACGTGAGGGAAATCTAGAGAGAACCTGGAGGGGGCTGGGGACCACAAGGAGGCACATGGGGGAGGGGGGGTGGGGGGGGGGGGCACACGCAGACAAGGGGACACATGAGGAACACAAGGAGACACATAAGGGGAACCTAGAGAGGGATGGAGAACCCAAGGAGACACACGAGGGAGACGCAGATCATGACAGTAACAAGTTGTCACCAGACACACCGTGGTGTGACCACCGCCATCACGGATAATTGCCATCAATATTTCACAGGGACTGTGACAGGAGGGCATGACCTGATGCAGCTCAGGAGAAATCAAAATACCTGCGCTGTGACACATCATAAGTCAGCTGCTGCAGTCCACCGCAGCAAAGGGTGAGACCCAGAAGGAAAACTCCAGACAGGAAGTTAGCTTACGGTTGTTTGTGAAACACTTTGTGGAGTTTGACCTATTACAAAGCAGAGTTACAATCATGCCAGAGTTGGTTTCGACTAAATTGCTGAAATCTTTGAATTCTAGTAAAGAAAAAATATAGATGCTGTTGTGTGTTTTCTGAACCAAGAGGGCAGACAATAGGAAAAAGATAAATATAAAAATGTATAAAAATGATGTCAAATGATGTAAAAAAAAAATCAATGAATGGCTGCCATTTTCTGTAAAATTTGTTCAGACTGTGCTGTCTAGAATACTTTATTTTTTTTTTACTTTTAAATAGGACATGACCTCATTCATCCACAGCGTGTGGGACGGCGCAGTAGTGGACTTCTACTGGAGAAGGAGGTGTCGTCGCACCATCAAAGAGGTGAAAGCCAGAACTGAGAAGAAATTTTTGTACTTCTTCTCAATTCTTGATTTTGTTTTTGTTTTTTGTAAGTGGCCCTAATCCTCTTCCGTATTATTCAGATTCACTTGCAGAAAAGTAGGTTATAGATGGTATAAAGTGGCAGATGTGAAGTCTTTGCTACAGTGCAGATGTGAAAATGTATGGCAGTTTCATAAGAAGAGAGTTGAATGACATCACCATCACTAGAGGGTCACCAAACATCTCAACATGCTTGTTTGACAACCAACTGGCTGAAAATGGAATTGTCTGGGATTCTGTCTTCTAACCACTAGTTACTGGGTAAAGTCCCACTTCCTGGGACACACTGGCTCCACTAGAAAGCTCCAGTAAGAGCACAACAGCTGTGACAGATTTTTCTGAAAAGAATTCAATTACACTTAAACACTATTTTCACACAGGATGAACGTGTCTGTGAAAAAGTTGTCAGTGAGGTCTTCAGGTGCATACTGGGAAGGCAGTGAGCTGCTTGTGGCCTCTGGTCCTGCGTGTTTTTAGAGCTTGGACCAAACCTTTGGAGATGTAGTGGTGGGCTTTTATTGTGGTAGAATCATGTTGGACTTCTGGGTGGAGAACTAGGGATCACAGCTGTAATGTATTCATCAATATGGACTTGTGTGCAACAGCGTGACTTTGTCATGGAAAATTTAAAGCATGCCGCCCCTCCTCCTGGCCTTGTATGACCCACATATGACCCAATCGTGCACTAGCAGTATGCCAATGTGGCACAATCCTCTAGTCCAGGGTCTTTTTGAGGGAAAGAGGCTTTTTTTCTCTCTTTTACAAAAAGCAATTATCACCAAACCACAACTCTGAATGCAGGGTTAGGGTTGGTTGTATCTCACTGTGACAAAGATGCAAGGGTGTCTCCAAAGTGTCCTGAAATGTTCCATTTCCAGTGGAATACAGACTGTAGCCTCAAACAACACATTCTCACACCCTAAGAGTCGGAAACAAACGCTTGGTCAGCCACCCTCCACGTCAGACCCCAGACGCCAAAAGTGCCCTTTTTCGTTACTTATGTGCGAAAAGGGGTTTTTCCCTTTTGTAACTGCAGATCCCAATGCAGCGTAAAACTGGCGTGATTAGATATCCGCTGATGCGGCACTGAACCAGCTCGTTTAACCACACCTAAACCTTAACGTTTCACTATTTATAACCTTCCCCTCTCCCTCATCCTAACCTTAACCCTAAAACGTTACTCTCACTGTGATCAAGCGTTTGTTTCCCATGCATTCTGACTCTGACAGTCAGAGTCTGACCGTCATTTTTCGTATTTGCTGCCCAAGGGGAACGTTAGAACATACCATCTGGCGAGGGGGAGGTTACAAATACCCTCTACTTTTAACCTCCACCTTGGTAGTTGAAACCTCCCCCTCGTGTTGGCTCGGTCCAAACCCGACCAATCTCAAGGCGGCTCCCGCCGTTCACTTCATAGAGCGACCGAAACATCAC